ACCAGAGACTCCTTCCTCACGACCACTTTGTTTTGGGCAGAGAAGCAGAAAAAAAGAGCAGTTCCCCTCTCCCCTCTCACTTTCCTCCATTCAATTTGGACTTTGAAGTTGAAGTACACAGTCTTAAAGCTGTCAAGTTTGAACACCCCTGCAGGTTTTTTTTCTAAAGGGTTATTGGTGCAAGGGTCTTGTAACTTGACAGCTTTAAGACTTCAAATGCCAGAGTTTCTGAGTCAACATTTTGGTTGCTAAGTAAGAGCGTTGTTAAGTGAGTTTCACCACATTTTATAAGTTGGCCATGCCCACCAGATCACATGACTGTCAAGCCACTCCCACCTGGTCACATGATCACCAAACCACTCCCACAAAACAGGCCACACCTACAGAATAGGTTCTAAAAAAATTTGAAACCCACCAGTGAACTGAACCCAGAAGGACATTTCTTCCAACATGGGCAGAACAGAAATTGGGTAGACTGTAGCCTCAGTGATTAAAGAATAAGCAACAATATTTTTTGAAACGCTATTGGGAAATGCAGTTTACACTCCGTGCCTTTTTCTAGGGTTTGGCCTCAAAGAGCTGATAGAAAACCCATGAACTGCCTTTTTGCGAGGGTGGACAGGGAACTAGAGTCATGGAACATTGAGTTTGAACTGACTCATCTCTAAAAGTTGACTTTGGAAATATTCCTGGTCTTCTAGAGACCAAGTACAATTGAGCAATAATAAAATAGGAAAACAGGATGAGAGAAAAAACTACTTCCAAAATATGTTTGGAAATTAACATATTGCCGTAGGTATACTTATACAAGAAATTTCTCAACCAAGAAGACTGAGAGTTATTAATCATGCTTTATTTAACCAGAGTTTCTTGAATAACCATATTAGCTAACTCATAGAATATGGAAAACCAAAACCAAATTCAGTAAACCACATTATAGATTTCTATATTGGGTGAGTCAGCTACACTGTGTATAAGAGAAATGCAGCTGTATTGCTCAACAACTCTTCTGGTATATGGGGACAATNGTTATTAATCATGCTTTGTTTAACCAGAGTTTCTTGAATAACCATGTTAGCTAACTCATAGAATATGCAAACCAGTAAGCCGCATTATGGATTCCTATATTGGGTGAGTCAGCTACACTGTGTATAAGAGAAATGCAGCTGTATTGCTCAACAACTCTTCTGGTATATGGGGACAATATCTCATTTGCAGTATTCTGGGGTAAGCATGGCTCTGCAGAGAAGAAGTTCAGATATTTGTGGGTCAGCCCTTCTCAATGCCTTTCCTGCATGAATTCTAGGCCTAGGTAATCTTGAGATGAGAATCCATTTTGGGGCTTTTTTAAAACTTAAGGTGGCCTTTCTAATAAAAAACTCTTCAACAACAACAACAATAAAGGGCAAAGGAGAGAGATATTGTTCAATCATTTTTAAATTATCCATTTGCTTTATAGCTTATCACTCTGTATTGTAACGAATATCATGATAAATATTGCTTTCTGAAGATTTGCAATGCTCTTTTTGCACAAAAACTATGAGGGGACATGATGGCTTAGTGGCTAAGGTATTGAGCTTGTCAATAAGAAAGATTGGCAGTGCAGCGGTTTGAATCCCCAGCACCACATAATGGAGTGAGCTCCCATTACTTGTCCCAGCTTCTGCCAACCTAGCAGCTTGAAAGCATGTAAAAATGCAAGTAGAAAAATGGGAACTAACTTTGGTGGGAAGGTAACCACATTCTGTGCACCTTCGGCATTTAGTCATGCTGGCCACATGACCACGGAAGCTTCTGTGGGGCAAGCCTGAGGGAGAGAAGGGGATAGGATATGAGAGACCTCTATGGGACAAGTCTGAGGGAGAGAAGGGGATAGGATAGGGGAGGGTTCTGTGGGGCAAGCCTGAGGGAGAGAAGGGGACAGGATAGGAGATACTTCTATGGGATAAGCCTGAGGGAGAGAAGGGGATAGGATATGAGAGACTTCTTTGGGATAAGCCTGAGGAAGAGAAGGGGATAGGATAGGGGAAGGTTCTGTGGGGCAAGCCTGAGGGAGAGAAGGGGATAGGATATGAGATACTTCTATGGGATAAGGCTGAGGGAGAGAAGGGGATAGGATAGGGGAGGGTTCTGTAGGGCAAGCCTGAGGGAGAGAAGGGGATAGGATATGAGAGACTTCTATGGGACAAGCCTGAGGGAGAGAAGGGGATAGGATAGGGGAGGGTTCTGTAGGGCAAGCCTGGGGGGAGAAGGGGATAGGATATGAGAGACTTCTATGGGACAAGCCTGAGGGAGAGAAGGGGAAATGATAGTAGAGGTTTCTGTAGAGAGAAGAGGAGAGGAGAGGCCAAGGTAACTACTCATTAATTTTCAAGCTGTAAGTGTCGATTTATCAAATCTGATCGTAGTGGAGCACAGGTATTCAGTTAATCTGAAAATAAAAGTTTCAATCAACTAATGGAAGTCTCCCACTAGGCTTGCCCTGATAAGCCCCATTTCCTTTCCCCTTCTTTCTATGTGAGACTAGAAGTCCCAAACATTCATTTGGATAAGGTGCCATCTCTCTCTTATACCTGCTATCAGATATATTTTATCAGATAAGCAGGGCTACATCTCTTCCTCCCTACTTTCTTAATAAGCTTTTGGGTAGTTGGTAAAACTCGGAAGGAGTCTTGGGTGCCTTAACTTGCCCACCTTGGTGAATGCAGCTTGCTCATTCTGTACAAGAGAATAATGTGATATGGGAATTCACAATATGATCAACTCTGTCTGCAATTCTTTATAATCCAAGACTACACCTTGTATGGTTCTTACCTAAGTCAATGGCTAGCCTCCTCTGTCAAGAAACTCCTAACAGAACCACTACTACTTACTTCTAATGGGGTCTGATTTTACCTTCAGTTAAAAAAAAAGAACAATGGTATAATTTAGTTGTTTCATTCCCAGTGGATTCACAGCAGGATAAATAGTAACCAGAATGAAGTTCTCTCTGAGGAAGTGGGAGGTGGAAAAAACCCCACATATTAGTTTTAAGTTAAGTTTTAAGAAAATTGTTGGGAATCTTAGTTCAAAAAATTTGAGGGCATACATTAATGTTTTCCCCCCCTGTAAGATGTACTAGCTGAGGACTTAGTATAGCCGTGGTATTTATAGACATAAAGCATTTTTTTGACAGGGAACTATTGAGAGGGGCCTTCCTTTCCCCTACTCCCTTGCCCATCATCCATGCCCTCTCCCTTCCCCCTCCCATGTGCTCTTCTTTCCCAACCTGTCTATGATCCTGGCACTTTGCCCCAAAGCATTTGTCTGACAGGGAGCCATTGAGAGGGGCCCTCCGTCTCCCTACTCCCATGCCCATCATCCCTGCACTCTCCTTTCCCTCTCCCATGTGCTCTTTTTTCCTGCCCTGTCTAAGATCCTGGCACATTGCCCCAAATCCACCAGGCACTTCCCCATTGGTCCCCTGGAGGGTGAATGCCACAGCTGGCTTTCCAGAGGAAGCTGTGAAGGAACTGACATCACAAACAATTGCTGTTCTAGGATCTCCTTAGTGGGCCAGGCATTCCAGAGTTATTCTGGAACACACACACAGACACACACACACACACAAAAACACCCCAGGGGTGCCTTACCCACCTCCCCCAGTATTTGTTTCCAGAGGGTAAGTCATCTATGTACTAAGTTTGGTCAAAATTACTCAAGGCATTTCAGAGTTATACTGGAACAAACAAATATATATATGCATACGTACATACGTACATAAATCCTATATCTATATATAAAATAAAAAATAGATAGATAGATAGATAGATAGATAGATAGATAGATAGATAGATAGATAGATAGATAGATAGATAGATAGATTGATTGATTGATTGATTTGAGTTGTTCTTACCATTTGTTAGCACTAGTGTTAGTAGTAGTAAATACTATTTCCTTTGGGATTTTGATGCTTCAAAGTTTGCTTCGTAACTGCATCAGGAGCAAATATTATCATGGAAGTAGATCAAGATTAGACATTAACCTTTAAGAAACTATAAGGTTATTCCAGGAAACACAGATGATTGAAGAAAGCTGGAAGATAATATTTTATCAATTCAGACATGGGAGATAGGTAGTTGTGGACTATATGTAGCTTTCCAGTATCTGAGATCACACTATTCATTACTCTGATGGTAAAATGGCAAAGGGGTGTGATTTTTTTTATTTTATTTACAAAATTATACATAGAAATGAGAGTAGAAGGTAAGTCACCAGAGGAACACAATGGAATCCTTTCAGTGATTGCACTCTCTCAGTGTCTGGGAGTGGGTATGGCTGAATGTGGACAGGAACTCTTCACATGAATGTGAAAAGAAGCTCCATCAATGCAGGGGAGTCAGGCTATGCTGGCTGATGAAATTTGGGAGTTGAATTCTATGTAACAGTTAATGTGATAATTCTTCACATATTGCAGATTTCTTATCACCTTGAAAATGCAATTCAGTGGAAGTCTAAGGAGTGGTTAAGGATCATGAATAAAAGTCTACAAGACTTTCTGTGGCTGCACTCAGTTCTGGGTCATCAGATTATACGCCTACAGTCTGTGACCTCATTATGCAGTATAAATGCCATTTGCAAATCATTAACAATAGGCAGCACCCAAATGGATGTGGAGTAATAATGGAAAAATCCCCCAATTTCTCCAGCTTAATAATGATAACTTCTGTCTCAATTTGATTCAAGTTGAGATTGGATAGTTGAGACTGTGTGACCTTTCTCTGACATCGCAAACATTTCGCAAAAGTAGCCTTCTTTAACTGGTGAATGTTACCTCACTTGCCTGGCTGTACTCCATGGTCAAGAGGAATTGGTGCATTACATCAGATTTACCAAGGGACATTTTGCAATACCCCCCTTGCATTTAGAAACAGAATAAACTGGATTTCCCAAAATATATTAATGATTAAGGTATTTCTCAACTTTCATGATGTCATAGAGCTCTGAAAGCCTTATATAGACAGACCCCCTCCTCAGAGATCTTCTCCTAAAGAACTTCAAGCAGCCTAGAGTGTAACACATCTGGAGAACATCACCCTTCAGCCATGAAGACCCTTTTCCTTTTGTTTGCTGCTCTCTTGTTCTTCAGTCAAATTATTTCAGGTAAGAGATGGAGAAAATTAAGAGAGATACAGATTAAAATATTTACATTAAATTAAATACTGCAAATAGAGCAACTCTCACATTTTTAATGAGTATGGATTTTGATGACTAGCATTGATAAAGTAGAATTAATATGCACAGCTCTTCATGAAGGAATACATGAGGTCTTTCCCCTAGAACTGACAGCCAATTTTTATTAGAATATAAATATTTTACCAGTAAAGAATAATAGCAAAAAAATATGATAATGTTTAATAAAAGTATAACATTGCAAATATAAAAATATTACAAAATAGTAATTAAATGAATGGCTTTTGAAGAAAATAGAGGTATATTCATAAACTATTAATAAAGAAATCTATTAGCTTTTTATTCAACTTTTAACATATAATTAAATTTGTCTGTATAGGCTAGCTTAAATGGCCATTTCTCCATTTTAGTACAGTATATTATTTCAGTATAATAATATTTATATAATACATTGAGATTCTTAATATTCTGTCATATAGATGCCTTAGAAGGATTATGATAGAGTAGATATGTGGACATTCTATCAATAATAATTACAGTTTTGAATATTAATGTAACAAGCAGTGTAATTAACTTTTGCTTCAATATTAAATAACAGAGTAACAAAGTTGGAAGAGACCTTGAAAATATTCTACTCTAACCCCCTGCCAGGCAGGACACCCTATACCAGGGGTGTCAAACTCGATTTCATTGAGGGCCACATCAGGGTTGTGTTTGCTCTCTGGGGGCTGGAGTGGGCATGGTCAGGGTAGGCATAGTGAGCATGATGTCACTTGTGTCATGGGTGCCAACGGTGGCCTGAGTGCTCTGCCAGAGAAAATGGGCTCCCAAGCTCCATTTTCAGTTGTGGCAGCCTCCTGCAACCCTCTGCCAGTGAAAACAGAGCTCGAGAGGGCCCCACATGGCTCTCCCAAGCTCCGTTTCACTGCCAGAGGCACCATGGGCCAGTCCTTTCTGTTTCCAGGGTGACCCCCCCCCAGGTCAGATCTAAGCACCTGGTAGGCTGGATCTGGCCCCTGGGCATTGAGTTTGACACCCATACTCTATATCATTTCAAACAAATGGTTATCCATTCTCTTCCTAAAAACTTCCAATACTGAGCATCCACAACTTCTGGAGGCAAGGCAAATGTAACATTTGAAATGAAGGAGAAGATAAAGAAAGGGGTACATCGAAGAGAAAGAAGAAACCAATAGCACTATGGTTCCCCTGAAAGTACCTAAACTAGCAAATAAAATTATTAAAATAAATACACAGCTGCTTCATGGACCAGTATAACATCTTACCCACATACCTTAGATTATTGTAAGCATTTGACTAATTGATAATTAGAATCATTTAGTAACCTTTTAAAAGACACACCTCAATTTTTTTAAATGTTTATAATTATATTAGTTATTTATTGTAATAAATAAATCAACACTAATAGGACTACCATCAGATAGCAGAAAACTGTTTTACTTATTTCTAATCATGCTATTCTTTTTTCACTTTTGATGGCATGCTAATCAGTATATTGGCTTCAATGTTGTCATAACCTGCAGGTAATACTGTGCCCAGATTACTTGGCTTATCCTGATGAAGTACTTGAACAATTTACAAAGGTTAGGAAAGCTGGGAGCCTGCCAGAAAGCCTAATTTCAAGGAATCTGAATTTAATTAACCCCTTTGGCTTGTGGCTTTTAAAAAGCTTCAGAAGACCCATTTGCTTTAATGATGCCCATCATTTTAAAAAGGGAAATAAAGCTACACAATTTATTGTTCAGTCAGGGAGTTTTGCATCCTTCCAACTGGGCAGGAATAAAAAAAAAGCAATAGGATTGATGCACAGCAGCCAGGTTTGAAGTATCTCAGTGACAACAGGAAATCCTAACACCAGGTTACCTAGACCAGTAGTCCCTCACTGTCTCCTCATCTTAGCTTTCCCTCCGCAAGTTCCCCAAACAAAACTTCTAAGAAAAAGATGAATAGGGAAGCTTCCACTATAAGCTCATTGGGTTTTTTTTTTGTTGCTTGTGACAGGAAGTTCTCAGCCTGCCCCTGATACCTTAGAATGCAGGAGGAGTCACCATGGATTCTGTAAATCCCGCTGTCCTCCGCACACTACGCCTACTGGAGGGAGCTGTCAGTGGGGAAGCCTGATTTGCTGTAAATCGTAAGTCAAAAGTCATTATATTTATCCATTATGTAAAGGACCAAGAAAATCTAGGCATTTTGACTCTTAATAGATAGGTTTTATGTATGCCACAAGGTGGGATCTTTGACACCACCATTGCTTGACTTTAGAAGATCTGGCTTTCCATTCTTGAGTTTAAGACTGTGCAGCTACAGCCTAGCTGTGCCCTTTGTCCTTCGAATTGTTTTCTCTTATTTTTCCTAATACTCTGTTCATCAGGTAATGGGTGGAAGGGGTATGTGTGTGAAATAAGGATACATCTCAAAAATAAGTTTCACTGACTTAAGTGTTCATGATGATTTGTTTTGTTTTGTTTTATTGGTTTGGTTTAGTTTAGTTTAGTTTAATTTAATTTAGTTTAGTTTCACAAATTACTCAGGGCACCAAACATATCCAACATACCTTCCTCCTCCTATATCCCTCATAACTACAACCCTGTAAGTTGGGTTGAGCTGAGAGAGAAAGTGCCTGGCCCTCATCAAAATCCAAAGTAAAATCAACTTCTAGTTGCAGGGATTCACTGTAGCTCTGGTTGTTCTTGAACATTTTCTTGAAATATTCTAATATTTGCATTTTTTGTGTGCAGTTTTACCTAATCTGGTGAAGTTTTGAAAACAATTCCCTTGAAGAAAATTCAAATTTGCACATTGCCCATAATCGTTGGATTTGAGATGAACAGCAAATAAATATAATAAACAAACAAACAAACAAACAACTTATACTGGTATATCTATAAGCATTTTCCCCAATATATGCTTTTAAATAATACATTTGAAAATTTAGAAAAGTGCAAATATGGAAGCATAATTTCAATTATTGTGGTTTGGAACCACAAATTAAGTACTGTAAGTTCCATTCAAATAAAAGGCGGCAAATACCAGTACTGCATTAATTGCATTAATAGTGAAGTTATGGAAATTTTACTTTAGAAACTTCCAAATCTCATGATTCCAAAACTTCAATGAGATAGATTGTCCCAAGAAATGTAGCTTATATCTGATTTGAGTTCTCATTGAAACCCTTCTCTTGATTAGCATTTCAGTTTAGATTAAATTTTTATAATTCAAAGAAGAAAGTTTGAAGCTCAGCTAAATGAACTTCTCAAGTGTATACCTCTCACGTTTACAATTTATTATATAGGATATGACCTTGTAGATAACTCTCACTGTCAAGAACCTAGAAGTACTCATCTCAAGCAATCTATATCCCAGACCTCACTGTGAAAGCATTGCCAAAAAAGCATTAAGAGTTATTAACCTAATTTTCCGAAGCTTCTTCTCTGGTAACAGTGTACTACAAACTACAGCATACAATTTTTTTGCCAGACCTATTCTCAAATATAGCTTGTCTGCCTGGAATCCACACTGTATATCAGATATTAATACAATCAAATGAGTCCAGAGGTATTTCATGAGAAGAGTACCTCTGCTCACAGTAGAATACCTTATGCCAACAGGCTTGAAATTTTGGGCTTGGACAAACTAGAACTAAGCTGATTAAAGACTGACCTAAGTGTAGTACACAAAATTGTCTGTTACAATGTCCTAACTGTCAATGACTACTTCATCTTCAACCTCAATAATACATGGGCAAACAATCGATATAAACTAAAGATAAACCGCTCCAAACTTGATAGCAGAAAATATGACTTCTGCAACAGAGTGGTCAACATCTGGAATGCACTATCAGACTCTGTTGTTACATCCTCAAACCCCCATAACTTTAACTTTAAACTGTCTAGGGTGGACTTCACCAGCGTGCCTACCATCCCAGTCCTATTGTCCCCATTTATCCGTACCCATGTCCTGTGTTCATGTCCATGTTTATACTTATACCTGCTATCTCGTACATGTTTGAAAAAGTAACTAACTAAATAAATAAATATTACACATATGTTCTTCCAAACCTTTCTATTCATTTTGCTTTTTTTAGACTGTAATAAAACAAGCCATCTCCTGCTTCTGTGACTACCTTTCTATTAACTACTACAAGGGTAAAGCAAATAGGCAGTGGAGAGAATAGCTACCTTTTAAGTTAGTTAATAAAGAAAAATACTTTATTTTAATTAACTGTTTTTTTCTCTCTCTCTAGTATTTATAGGCAGAGAAAGTGATAATCAACCCAAAGGAAGACTTCTGGATTCTAGAGAAATACATGCTGGCTTTGGAAATTGGTGGCTTTGACTTCGAAGTCAAGAATAAAGAGTCATTTGTTTGGACTATAAACAGACATAATGTTCTGCAAAGAAATTCACATTCCTCTCTGCCCTTGCCTCCCCTTTTACACATTCATTTTTTGACTTAAGGGCAAGTTTCAGAAAATATTAAGTAACCAGCTAGAGTTCTCAACACAGAATTTTGGAAATGAAAGTTAATTGTAAATTAAGAAATAATTAGGTTGAAATAATAGGCTGAATGTCAAAAAGCTGTTTATGGATATTTTAAAGAAAGAGAGGGAAAAAGGAAGGGAAAAGAAAGCTTTATTTGCTTTTCTGAAATTCTGTGGAAGAAATTTACATTTTTACTTACAAAAGGTAAATTACAGAGCTAGTATAATCTATTTCCTTGTGATATGCATGAAAATATCACATTTAAAGACTTGCACAATTATGCACCTTCTGCTTCCGTTGCATATATTTGGATCTTGTGCCTTCCAGCTTTTTTCCACTCAAAAGTTTTTTTCAATTATCAACTCTCTTTCAAAAAGTTTTTTAAAAGAGAAAGATAAAAATGAATACAAACTAATTTCAAGTAAGAAAAAAACGAAAAATAAATAAATAAAAGGAAAAACTAAAAGTGCAAGAAAGGAAAAAGAACTAAAATAGAAATGATGGAAAAGAGAAACAAAAGAGGAACTTCCAATCCTATTTACAGCAGTTATAAGTACAATTATATAATTGCCTCTTACAATATGGTTACAACATGTCTCTCTTCTTTGTAGAATCTATCATTTAATCATCAAACCCATAAATTGTTCATTTTCTCTGTTTCATGCAAAAAGTTCATAAGGAATCTCCAATCAGTAATAAATGTGGATATTGTCTTTTCTCTGATCAAAGAAGTCATTTTTCTCCCAAAAGCCGAGTAAATTTTGAAGTCTGCAATTTCAGGAATGCTCATTTTAGGAAAATCACCCATGAAAGTTTGAACATTAAAAAAAAAAATACTTTATGCATTTGCACTGAGTGGTATCACCTTTTTTTCTATCAATATACCTTAGTGTTATAAAATGTTACTAACAAACTCAAATAAAATACAGATCTTAAAGCAAATTTTGAGAGTGTTTATTACTGATCTTCCCATTAATATAATTTCTAGATGTATTGGATAACAAACCTACCATTTCATCCAACCCATTATAAAAAGAGTAGCAGGCTGAAGAAACCATCTCTATTACCCACAGGTGCTTTTTCAAAAAGCAACTGTAGTTTCTTTGTTTTTCTTAAAGATATTTCACTTCTTATTCAAGAAGCATTTTCAGCTCTGTATATATTTCAGTTTTGCAGAACCTTCTTGGATGAGAAATGAAATGTCTTCAAGAGAAAGAAACAAAGAAAGTCCAGTTGCCTTTTGAAGAAGCATTATTGGAACAACCATGATCTGAATGACTGAGAATCTCCATAGACATCTCTATTATCTTACTGTTATGAATTAGTTGAGATTGTACCTCCCAAATGATGGCTGCTTCTTTCTTGATCAGGAACCTTTTTTTTAAAAAAAGAGTGTGCTTTCAATCAAACTAGTTCAAATTGAAGCAAGAGTTTGAACAAAACATTTAATTTAATTAAAACTCTTTCATAGATTGTTACATTCTGGAAATGACATGGTAACAATTGATTTATTCACATAACCAGCTATCCCCAGTACAAGTAGGCCCACTGATCTACCAGCCTTAGCTTACCAGACTTTTATCAATCATTTCTACCACACATCAACTTTAATGCTTTCTGGCTCATGTTAGCTCAAACAGTCCTGTCCAGTTTGCCTACTGAGTTTCATTTTATTGTTGGAAACACCCCCCACTCCAACAGATTATTGTCTGTTGTGGCAGGAACCAGTGGTGTATTAAATATTAAGCAGAATAAGCACGTGTTTAGGATGCCAAGCCCAAAGGGGACACCACAAAGTTGAGAAAGAAAGAAAAACAATGAAGATTTGTACAGAATGTATAAAGGAGAGGAGCACCAAGATTTGTCAGTGCTTAGGGAACCAGTGAGCCTTAATCCTCCACTGGCAGGAACAATCCTTCATCCCTGGTTCCTGCCCTCCATGACCAGTTTTGAACAAGTTCATCAATAAAAAGTGAAAAGCTTTGAGTTGATCTTTTACAACTTTATTAATAAACAATGCGTGGTGGGCCTCTCTGTTTTACAAGAAAAGGATGAATCTCTTTTTTTGTAACCATAGGAAATTGACAAAAGTTCCCTTTTAATTACTAAAATACACATTACTACTACTACTAATAACAACAACAGCAACAACAACAACAACAACTTGAGAATGAAGAAATGATAAAGGCAGTAAAACCTGAAGAAGGCTATAAGTACTTGGGGATTTTAGAGCCCTCTGACTTAATGCATAACAAAGTCAAGGAATTAACTTCAGCCAAGTACATTCGACAAATTCGCAAGATATTAAAGTCCAAATTGAATGGAGGAAACATCATAAAAGCCATAAATACCTGGGCTATACCTGTGTTTAGATACTCTGCCAGAATAATTGACTGGACCCAGNCTCAACCAAGAAGACTGAGAGTTATTAATCATGCTTTATTTAACCAGAGTTTCTTGAATAACCATATTAGCTAACTCATAGAATATGGAAAACCAAAACCAAATTCAGTAAACCACATTATAGATTTCTATATTGGGTGAGTCAGCTACACTGTGTATAAGAGAAATGCAGCTGTATTGCTCAACAACTCTTCTGGTATATGGGGACAATATCTCATTTGCAGTATTCTGGGGTAAGCATGGCTCTGCAGAGAAGAAGTTCAGATATTTGTGGGTCAGCCCTTCTCAATGCCTTTCCTGCATGAATTCTAGGCCTAGGTAATCTTGAGATGAGAATCCATTTTGGGGCTTTTTTAAAACTTAAGGTGGCCTTTCTAATAAAAAACTCTTCAACAACAACAACAATAAAGGGCAAAGGAGAGAGATATTGTTCAATCATTTTTAAATTATCCATTTGCTTTATAGCTTATCACTCTGTATTGTAACGAATATCATGATAAATATTGCTTTCTGAAGATTTGCAATGCTCTTTTTGCACAAAAACTATGAGGGGACATGATGGCTTAGTGGCTAAGGTATTGAGCTTGTCAATAAGAAAGATTGGCAGTGCAGCGGTTTGAATCCCCAGCACCACATAATGGAGTGAGCTCCCATTACTTGTCCCAGCTTCTGCCAACCTAGCAGCTTGAAAGCATGTAAAAATGCAAGTAGAAAAATGGGAACTAACTTTGGTGGGAAGGTAACCACATTCTGTGCACCTTCGGCATTTAGTCATGCTGGCCACATGACCACGGAAGCTTCTGTGGGGCAAGCCTGAGGGAGAGAAGGGGATAGGATATGAGAGACCTCTATGGGACAAGTCTGAGGGAGAGAAGGGGATAGGATAGGGGAGGGTTCTGTGGGGCAAGCCTGAGGGAGAGAAGGGGACAGGATAGGAGATACTTCTATGGGATAAGCCTGAGGGAGAGAAGGGGATAGGATATGAGAGACTTCTTTGGGATAAGCCTGAGGAAGAGAAGGGGATAGGATAGGGGAAGGTTCTGTGGGGCAAGCCTGAGGGAGAGAAGGGGATAGGATATGAGATACTTCTATGGGATAAGGCTGAGGGAGAGAAGGGGATAGGATAGGGGAGGGTTCTGTAGGGCAAGCCTGAGGGAGAGAAGGGGATAGGATATGAGAGACTTCTATGGGACAAGCCTGAGGGAGAGAAGGGGATAGGATAGGGGAGGGTTCTGTAGGGCAAGCCTGGGGGGAGAAGGGGATAGGATATGAGAGACTTCTATGGGACAAGCCTGAGGGAGAGAAGGGGAAATGATAGTAGAGGTTTCTGTAGAGAGAAGAGGAGAGGAGAGGCCAAGGTAACTACTCATTAATTTTCAAGCTGTAAGTGTCGATTTATCAAATCTGATCGTAGTGGAGCACAGGTATTCAGTTAATCTGAAAATAAAAGTTTCAATCAACTAATGGAAGTCTCCCACTAGGCTTGCCCTGATAAGCCCCATTTCCTTTCCCCTTCTTTCTATGTGAGACTAGAAGTCCCAAACATTCATTTGGATAAGGTGCCATCTCTCTCTTATACCTGCTATCAGATATATTTTATCAGATAAGCAGGGCTACATCTCTTCCTCCCTACTTTCTTAATAAGCTTTTGGGTAGTTGGTAAAACTCGGAAGGAGTCTTGGGTGCCTTAACTTGCCCACCTTGGTGAATGCAGCTTGCTCATTCTGTACAAGAGAATAATGTGATATGGGAATTCACAATATGATCAACTCTGTCTGCAATTCTTTATAATCCAAGACTACACCTTGTATGGTTCTTACCTAAGTCAATGGCTAGCCTCCTCTGTCAAGAAACTCCTAACAGAACCACTACTACTTACTTCTAATGGGGTCTGATTTTACCTTCAGTTAAAAAAAAAGAACAATGGTATAATTTAGTTGTTTCATTCCCAGTGGATTCACAGCAGGATAAATAGTAACCAGAATGAAGTTCTCTCTGAGGAAGTGGGAGGTGGAAAAAACCCCACATATTAGTTTTAAGTTAAGTTTTAAGAAAATTGTTGGGAATCTTAGTTCAAAAAATTTGAGGGCATACATTAATGTTTTCCCCCCCTGTAAGATGTACTAGCTGAGGACTTAGTATAGCCGTGGTATTTATAGACATAAAGCATTTTTTTGACAGGGAACTATTGAGAGGGGCCTTCCTTTCCCCTACTCCCTTGCCCATCATCCATGCCCTCTCCCTTCCCCCTCCCATGTGCTCTTCTTTCCCAACCTGTCTATGATCCTGGCACTTTGCCCCAAAGCATTTGTCTGACAGGGAGCCATTGAGAGGGGCCCTCCGTCTCCCTACTCCCATGCCCATCATCCCTGCACTCTCCTTTCCCTCTCCCATGTGCTCTTTTTTCCTGCCCTGTCTAAGATCCTGGCACATTGCCCCAAATCCACCAGGCACTTCCCCATTGGTCCCCTGGAGGGTGAATGCCACAGCTGGCTTTCCAGAGGAAGCTGTGAAGGAACTGACATCACAAA